GGTTTGCTATTATGGCACATGCTGAATGAACTCCAGGTCACATCAATCATTACATCCTCACCAAATCTTATATAACCCAGGCCACCAGTTGGCTGCACCTCGGTATTGTCTTTGAGTGTCAGTTTTTTAAAGGAATGCCACTAAATGCCTAGGGCACAGTAAATAGCATTTGCAGTTGGGACTTAGTGAGATAATGGAAACAGGTCTTTGAAGTTGATCCCTTAATTTCTTTTCTTTTTCATTTTAGGCACTTTATAATCAGTATTTACAGTTTAAAGAAACAGAAATTCCACCAAAGGAGACAGAAAAGTCAAAAATTAAACGTCTATATAAATTATTAGAGGTGAGCTGAAATGCACTTAGTATCTTTAAGCATCATCTTCATTTATGTACATCTTGGCTTCACATTACTTTTTTTTCCTCAAGATTTGGATAGAATTTGGACGTATCAAACTCCTTCAAGGTTATCATCCTAATGACATAGAGAAAGAGTGGGGGAAACTCATTATTGCCATGCTTGAGAGAGAGAAGGCACTTCGTCCAGAAGTAGAAAGGTAGGCCACAGATGTTTTCTGCTTTTTCATTCTTGTGACAACTTAAGTTTTAGAACCAGGCAGACTGAGGACCAAAATTTACCTTTTCCATTTACTTGGCTGTGTACTTTCCATTTACTTGGATCAGTCACTTAGTTTTTTCTGATCCTCCATTTTCTTATCTAGAAACTTTTCCAAGAGGTTTTAAGGAGTAAATCAGTGACATAATGTATATAAAGGACCTTAGGTTGGATAGGTGTGTGAAACCTCATCTAATAGTGTATTAACTGGACACAGTGACTTGCTTCTATAATCCCAGCTATGTAGGAAGTGGGAGTGAGAAGATTGTTTGAGACCAAAATTTTGAGACTAGCCTGGGTAACATAGTAAGACCCTGTCCCTAAAAATTAAAAAAAAAAAAAAAAAAAATTAACCAGGCATGGTAGTGTGGTCTTGTAGTCCCAGCTCTTGGGAGGCTGAGGCTGGAGGATCACTTGAGCCTGGGAGTTTGAAGCTGCGGTGAGCTGTGATCTGACCACTGTTCTCCAATCTGGGACACACAGCAAAACTCTGTCTTTAATAATAATAACAATGATGATGATGATGATAATACAGAGCAAAACTCAAATAATAATAATAATAATAATAATAATAATAATAAAGGTTATAGTTTTAAAGCCAATCAAAATTACCTGTAAATTTGCAAATAGGCCTTAAGTAGTCACCAGGGCCAGTACCTGTAAGCTCATAGGTCAAAGTGAATTTATTTTGTGTTTTGTTACATTTTTTAATATAATCCTCCTTCATTTTCATGGGACAGTGGAAACCAGAGTCTAACTTGCCTCCATTAAAGTGTGGTAGGCTAGCATCTAGAATACGTTCAATAAATGTTAGTTCAGGCTCCCTTGTTGCTACACTTCTACAAAGTGCATTTATTCCATGAGGTCATCAGTGGTTCTGTCTCTTCATTCTGTCTCTCTCACTGCACTCAGTTGCCCAGGAAGGCACCACTTAGTCTCTAGAAAAAGCTAGAATGAGTTTGAATGAGTTTGAATGAGTTTGTCACTGTTTGAATGAGTTGAATGAGTTTGTTGAATGAGTTTGTCACTGTTTTTTTTAAAACATATTTTTTATTTTAAAATTGTGGGGTACAGTGAAGGGTTAGGTATACAAATATGCATGTGCAGGTACCCTTGTTGATGAAGTGTGCCTCCCCCGTCTACAGACAGATATTGACTACCGTTAATCACACCTTCCTTCCCCTCCCCGCCCCTCCCAATAGTTTCCCACCACTGTCAGTCCTTTTCTTATAGGTTTACGACAGTTGTTCAAGGTCCACTTATAAGTGAGAACATGTGATACTCAGATCTTTGTTTCTGTGAGAGATCACTCAGTATTATAAACTCTAATTCCATCCAGGTTGCTGCAAAATTCATGATTTTGTTCTTTTTTATAGCTGCATAATATTCCATTGTGTATATGTACCACATTTTTTTAATCCAGTCCTCTTTTGATGGACACCATGATTGGTTCCAGGTTCTTGCTATTGTGAACAATGCTGCGATAAACATACGTGTGCAGGTATCTTTTATATAGAGTGATTTGAGTTCTTCAGGGCATATTCCCAGCAGGGAAATTGCGGGATCATATGGAAGGTCGATTTTTAGAGCTTTTGGGAATCGTCACACTGTTTTCCACAGTGGCTGCACTAGTTTATACTCCCACCAACAGTGTAGAAGTGTTCTCTTTCTGCCACATCCTCTCCAGCATCTGTTATTTTTTGAGTTATTGATAATGGCCATTCTGACTGGGGTTAGGTGGTGTCTCAGTATAGTTTTAATTTGCATCTTCTTGATGATTAGTGAGGTTGAACATTTCTTCATGTGTCTGTTGGCCACTCGTATGTCTTCTTTTGTGAAGTGTCTGTTCATATCTTTTGCTCACTTTGTAATGGCGTTGTTTGTTTTTTTCTTTTCAGCACATTTGAGTTCCTTGTAGATTCTAGATGTTGGGCCTTTGTCAGACATAGAGTTGGCAAATACTTTTTCCCAGTCTGTAGGCTGTCTCCCTGCTCTCTTGATGGTTTCTTTGACTTTGCAGAAGCTTGTCAGTTTAATGAGGTCCCACTTGTCTGTCTTATCTCTTATGGCCCATGCCGTTTCGGGTTTTGCTCAGGAATTGGATGCCAGTTCCAACTCCCATAAGGGTGTGTCCTGCATTTTTCAAAGTTCTTATGGTTTGAGGTTTTACATTTAGGTCTCTGATCCATTTAGAGTTAATTTTTGTGTATGGGGATAGATAGGGTCTTGTTTGAATCTTCTGCATGTGGTCAGCCAGTTTTCCCCGCACCATTTACTGAATAGGTTCTTCTCTCCCCAGTGGTGGGTGGTGGAGGCTTTGTCGAAGATGAGTTGGTTGAGAAATTGAGGTTTTGCTTCTGGAATCTCAATTCTATTCTGTTGGTGAGTTTGTCACTGTTATAGTCCTCACCTCACAGCCTGACCCATGTCATGTGGGAATTGTGATCTTTGGTCTGCATGAGCCATGAGGTCCTCATGGCTGGGGCCTTGCAGCAATCAGGCCCACCTTTTCGGCCTCCCTGCCCTCTGTTGGGCAGCCACCCTGCTGCTTTACTCCCCAACTCTCTTTACCATCCTAACCCATCTCAGAGCTTAGCTCCAAAGTTACTTCCTTGAGAAACTCTTCATGGTCTCCCAGATAGGCTTAGAACACTCATGTTGTTCCTTCATAGCGCTTATCTTGGTTGTAATTTTATATTTATTTCTGTGATTATGTGAGTAGGGGCTGCCTGTTCCACAGGTGTGAACTCAAGAATGTGGAGAGAAGGGCGAAGCCCTTGTGTTTACTGTCCCCTGTGTTGCACACAATGCCTGGTGTACAGTAGAGGTGCTCAGTGCAGCCACATTCTTTGTGTCTCACACATTGCCCTGAATACTGTTGGAATATGGATGGATGTGTTGAAGATAGGAGAACAAGTATAATTTGTCAGTCCTTTATTAAATTACTGATTGCTCTCTTGTTAAAGCATAAATATTATACCTATACAGCCAGATTATTAAAACCAAAACAGGCTTGAAATACACAGGATGGAACTTTTATGGAAGAGGTCATCCTGGGTGACTAAAATGGGATACTGAGCTAATCATGAGAAATAATGGAAAAGCGTACCAGAAAAAGGTTATTCTGATGATTTTTCAGTCATCAGAATAACAGCTGAATTTTAATATATGTTAATAAAAGATGCAGAGAGCGATTGCAACAAGTCCAGGTCCCAAGAGCCACTCTGTCCTGGATTAGATTATTAGCTCAGCTTGCAAGTTTTGTGATCTTAGACAAGTTCTTTAACTCTCTATGCCTCGGTTTTTTCATTTGTAAACAGGATGTAACAGTACTTACTACATTTGGTGTTTATGAGCGTGGGATGAGGTCATGTATATAAAGTGATTGGTTAATTTCCTGCACATAATTGCTTAAAAAATACCAATGCTGTTTGGTGGACTTACTATATTTGACATGGTGCTCTCAAATTTCCCCTTTCTTGACTTCTGAAAAGAAAAATAGCTATCCTTAGAGTGGAAAAGAAACCATTTGGCCTTGTAGTGTTGGGGGAAGGAGCAAATTTAGGAGCTTGGTTGGCAAAAATGCCTTCATTTCTCTTGACACAACAAGTCTTTTGGTACTGACTGTGTTGTATAGCTGTGTGACGTGGGAGTGTGTAAAAGATAGGTTGGAAAGAGCCAATGCTCTTATGCCATGTAGTAGCCCATAGAAAGGAAGGACAAGCACAGACAAATTAAATTTGCAAGGACTGCATCAGTGTTTTACTTTGCATTCTGGCTTTTTAAAAAATATAAAGTAACAGACTGGGCGAGGTAACTTATACCTGTAGTAATCCCTTCACTTAGGGAGACGGAAGATTGCTTGAACCCAGGAGTTTGAGACCAGCAAATGGATACTTTTCCAGTTAATTTAACAGAATGAGACTCTACTCCAGTGTGTGTGTGTGTGTGTGTGTGTGTAGAAGTAACATTACTGAGAGCATGTCATATAAAGAAAGGCAAATGGATACTTTTCCAGTTAATTTAACCTATTAAACAAATGACATTCTGGTGAAAACTGAAATATACTTTGTTTCTCATCAAATTCATTTGTTTACAAATTCTGGATACTTTCTAGCTTTTTGAATTCCTTGTGTTATTCAGCAGAGACTTGGTCCTTTGCAAAATCAACCTTTTACCTGATGATTGGTATTGCTAGAATAATCTTTGTTAGTCATACCTGGGCTTCAGTGAGGCATCCGAGTTGTTTTTTAGGTGGTTGAAATTGGATGACTCTTAGTAAAAATATTTGGCATATCTTCTCCAGTGACGCCCAGTCAGTCTGCTTTGTCCATACTTGCAGAGTTTTAATGTGAGCTCCAAAAGGCAGACCTCAACTAGCCAGTGAATGGCTGCAGGCAAGATTCTTTTGGAGAGTTATCATTATTTGCTGCATGTTGCATATGCATGTCACTGCATATTTAAGGAGCCATTATTAAAAGCTGTAACATTCAGTTGCTACTGCTCACCGTTAGAAGTAGAACATCTCCTACTTTTTATCAACTTTGACTTGTTAAAAGATCATCATTTCAGGAATAAAAATGCACAGTAGTAGTTATAGTTACCACAGCAGTGATTCTGTGTTTAGTAACACTACCAGCACTCGAACCAGTCTTGACTCAAATGAAAATTTCCTCTCAGTTCATTGTGGCCCGACCCTGATCAACTCCTGCATTAGCTTTGGCAATGAATCCTTTGACGGACACAGGTATCAAATCACTGCTGCGGGATTGTGTTTACGTTTTGGTGGGCAGCATTTTTCAGGAATGGTGAGCCCTTGGGCTTCGAAGGAGAAACTTTTATTTTATTTTCTGTCATCTTTTAGGTTGGAAATGTTGCAGCAGATTGCCAACCGGGTTCAGAGGGACAGTGTCATCTGTGAAGACAAACTGATGCTTGCCCGAAATGCTCTCCAGTCTGTAAGTTTTAATTTTTGGAGCTCTTGGGGTTGGGGTAGAGGAGGAGTAAGTGTGTGTTCAGAACTGAAACTTTTGCATAATGTTTGATTGATTCTTGGGATATGTTTTACATTGAAACTTAAAGTTTGTTAAATATTATGGTTGGTGTTTACTCTCTTGCGGGACAGTCAGAAAAGGAAAAGCATATTTTTGATCAACAAGGAGAACTTAAGAAAGCCCAAGCATTCTTTTGATCTCATATTTGGAGTTGTATGTTTGAGGCTAGTTCTGAAACTTATCTCACAGAACTAATATTGAGTTCTTTTAAATTACAGGATTCTAAACGATTAGAATCAGGGGTGCAGTTCCAGAATGAAGCAGAAATTGCCGGGTATATACTTGAATGTGAGAACCTTTTACGCCAGCATGTAATTGATGTACAGATTCTTCTTGATGGAAAGTACTACCAGGCAGATCAGCTGGTACAGAGGTAAGAGTGTTAGGTATTCCTACCCTGTCCTTTGTATAATTGTTTCATGGCCATTTGTGTTAAGAATGTAGCATTTAACAGTTTGATGAAACATATTTCAAGCTCTTTTAAGTTGAAAATGTGTATCACACTAATTCCAGTATATTTTGGTCTGTTAAATAGGTGTTCTTAAACAATCAGCAATAGAAAAAATATTTTATAGTACATATAATATTTACTGCTACAGTAACTAACATTATTAAAATGAATATTTTAAATGTATGTATGTACATACATTTAAAGAAGTCACATGTGGCATTTGAAAAAGGGAAAATGTAAGAAAAGTCATTTTTAATTAAGTTTTTCAGTTTTCTGTTTATCCTGTTATAAAAATGTTCATAACAAATGTTGAAAAAATATATATGTATACAAAATTATATCCCTGAGCAATGGGTTTGGAGTAGGTATGGAACCCTTCTGACTGTAGTGTGTCTCCCTCTTTCTGAACATCAGAGGGGACTCCCCCAAAATGGAATTTATTTATTTAAAAAACTGTGTATTTATTCTTATGTATTTAAACTTCAATTTCAAAGCACTCTTCATCTGATGCAATATACCTATTGAGACATTTTTTCCACTGTTCAAACAGTTTTTGAACTCATCAATTTGGATGCCTTTTAGTGCTTCTGCCATTTTTTGTTTCACCTCTTTCACATATATAAAACGTTTCCTTTAATGAAAAGAGAAAAGAAACAAGTCACTGTGGGTGAGTAGGGAGGGTGGGACATGAGGAGGTCATGCTGTTTGGGGTCAAAAACTACTGAACACTCATCATGGTGTGGGCAGGTTGTTTGTGTAAATCACCCATCATGAAATGGACAAGTGTGTTGAAAGAATCTCCCCCCCCCCATAAAATTCATTGAAGCCTTTCACAGTAATGCTAGCTGGTACACTGATGCCAGTGAGTTCCTAGAACACTTATCTAGTGGGAGAAACTTGTAGTACAAGGGGCCTGCCTTCCAAAAGAGAATTCTAGTGATTTTTTTTTTTTAGTCCCCCTTTTATGTATATATAAATATAGATGAATATATAAAAGTAAAACTTTTTTTTTTTTGAGTTAGAGTCTCACTCTGTCGCCCAGGCTGGAGTCCAGTGGCACACTCACGGTCACCCCAGCATACACCTATTAGGCTCCAGCAATCCTTCCAACTCAGCCTTCCAAGTAGCAGGAATTACAGGCATGTGCTACCATGGTTGGCTAATTTTTTTGATTTATTGTAGAGATAAGGTCTTGCCAAGTTGCCCGGACTGGTCTCAAACCCAGGCAACCTACTCAAACTCAGGCAATCCACTCACCTTGGCTTCCCAAAGTGCTGGGGTTACAGGCTAAGCCATCGAGCCCGGCCAAGTAAAACTTTTAAAAGATGCTTTGACCAGCAATTTTACTTTTAGGGATGTATAGTAATTCTAAATATGGAAATTATATAAATAAATGTAGAAAAACCTTTACATTTATGCCAAAAGCATTTTATAACAACAAAATCTTGGAACACTCCTAAATGTCAAATCATAGGAGAATTACCACATTATAGTATAGTAATTATATTTATTATAAATGATCAGTTATAAAGACGAATACTTTAGAAGGTCCTCATAGTATAATGTTCACTGAAAAAAAGATGCAAAATTTTACCAATATGATTACAGTGACCTTCTTTTTTTTAAAATGGTCTTTTTGTTTTTGAGCTATTTAAGTTTACAGAAAAATTAAATGGGAAATACAGAGTTTCTACATGTTCCCTTATACCTCCCTCTTTCCCTACTGTTAAGGGCTATCATTAGTGTGATACATTTGTTATAATTGATAAGCCAATATCGATACACTATTATTAACTGAAGATGGTGATTTACATTAGAGTTTATTCTTTGTGACAAATGCCTTTTACATTGCGTCTTGACCCTTTGATTTTCTTTTCAGGGTTGCAAAGCTGCGTGATGAAATTATGGCCTTAAGGAATGAATGCTCCTCAGTGTACAGCAAAGGACGCATGCTGACAACGGAGCAGACGAAGCTCATGATATCAGGAATCACTCAAAGTTTAAACTCAGGATTTGCACAGACCTTTCACCCTAGCCTGAACTCAGGGCTGACCCAGAGTTTAACACCTTCCCTGACCTCTTCTAGTATGACTTCTGGCCTGTCCTCAGGGGTGACCTCCCGCCTGACGCCATCTGTCACTCCAGCTTACACACCTGGTTTACCATCAGGATTGGTTGCAAATTTCAGTTCAGGAGTAGAGCCAAATTCACTGCAGACTCTGAAGTTGATGCAGATCCGAAAACCCCTTCTAAAGTCTTCTTTGCTGGATCAAAATTTAACAGAAGAGGAAATCAACATGAAATTTGTTCAGGATCTTTTGAACTGGGTTGATGAGATGCAGGTAAAAAAAAGTTTACTTTACCTGAATATTGCAGTCTTTATTGCTCTCGATTTTTTTTTTTTTAACTTAGTGTCCTGCTGTTTGAAGGTTCAACTGGACCACACTGAATGGGGCTCAGATTTGCCAAGTGTGGAAAGCCATTTAGAAAATCATAAGAATGTTCACCAAGCTATTGAAGAATTTGAATCTAGCCTTAAGGAAGCCAAAATCAGTGAGGTATGTGGCTTTAAAATTTGTAATGTTTCATTTTAGTTTACTTTGTTTTGCTCTTTACATAAAGACCTTGCAGCTCAGTAACTCCAGTGTGAGTCAGAATTCCTCAAGATTCCTAACTCTAATATCCTCTTATCCTGTGTTATAGATTCAAATGACGGCACCTCTTAAACTAACTTATGCAGACAAGTTGCACAGATTAGAGAGTCAGTATGCAAAACTCTTGGTAAGTTTTTTTTTTTTAATTGAGATTAACTCTGTTTGGTAAAGATGTGATTCTTACAATGGTTTTCCTTATAAAGAATACATCCAGAAATCAGGAACGGCACCTTGATACACTCCATAATTTTGTAAGTCGTGCAACCAAGGAACTTATTTGGTTGAATGAAAAAGAGGAGGAGGAAGTTGCTTACGACTGGAGTGAGAGAAACACCAACATAGCTCGGAAAAAAGATTATCATGCCGTAAGCACAACCTTTGTACTTGCATACTAGGTTGTATGTAAAAAGGTTTGGATTTTTTCTAATGCACTTATTGATTCTTGTTTGAATTAGGAATTAATGAGAGAACTTGAGCAAAAGGAAGAAAATATTAAAACAGTTCAGGAGATAGCAGAGCAGCTGCTTCTGGAAAACCATCCAGCCCGCTTAACTATTGAGGTAAGTCAGAAAGCATTACGATCTTGGTTAAATATTGCTGATTATTACTCCTTAGATTTTTTTATTGCTAACACCTTGAAAAATACAGACTGTCAAGCTTTTATTAAAAACCTGGCTCAAAAATGATTATTTTTGCTAATTGTACCGATCCTTGCCTTTAGTTCTTTTGCTCTCTCTGTGTGTCACTTATCACTTAGAATAAAGGTATCTTTGTCAACCCCTGTGACAAGAGATATATCACTGTAAAAACAAAGGCCCTTCTCTTTAAAAGCTTTGACGTTTTCTTTCTTTCTGCATGGCATTGCACAAGTGACATAGTCTTGCTAAGCCTCATTTCTCTACCAAAAATTGATGAAGTTGCCTCTGATCAATAGAGTTGTGAGAAGAGAAGGAAATAATTTGCTCTTACTACTTAGTACAGTTCTTGGTACATAATATGTGCTCAGGAAATACCAGCTGTTGTAATTTAATGATTTTATCTATGATCTGTATTTGTGGATTGTATTGGGGTAGCATCCTGGCACAGCCTCAGAGTGTGGCATAAACATTTCAAATATAGACTTGAAGAGTTGACAGAGGATTTTTCAGGCTGCCTGTGCAGTGGTGGTGTTTTTCACTTTTAGGCCATATTATATATTACACAGAGTTAGGGACTTTCTGAATGGGAAGTGAGGTTAGGAAAGGGGATGAGATTCCGTACACCTGGACCGACAGATGTGATGGTGTATTGTCTGAGGAAACAAATGATGTCTGGCATAAAAGATGCCATGCTTCAAACTCACTCTTGACTGAGGGAAGGAATCTGATCGTCTTTGTTCGCTGAAATCACTGTGACACACAAAAAAGGTAAAATTCTAGGCTCATTAGGAAGTTTGCAGAATGTTATGTTTGACCTTGTTTCATATAAAATAAGATTTTGCATCCATATGACATGCAGTGTTATCATATCTACTTGATGTGACTATTAAAAAATGTAGAGGAGCCAGGCTTGATGGCTCAGCCTGTAATCCCGCGCCTTTGGGAGGCTGAGGTGAGTGGATTGCCTGAGTCCGCGGGTTTGAGACCCACCTGGGCAGGCGAGACCTCATCTCTACAATAAATAAAAAAATTAGCCGGGCGTGGTAGCGCACGTTTGTAGTTCCAGCTACGTGGAAGGCTGAGGCGGAAGGATTGCCGGAGCCCAGCAGGTCGAGGCTGCGGTGGCCGGGAGCGGCCACTGCACTCCAGTCTGGGCGACAGAGTGAGACTCCAACTCAGAAAAAAAAAAAATGTAGAGGAGCAGGGAACCACTAGGGAAAGAAAGTTAGAATAATGGGGGTGGGTGGGAATGTAGTACAGGATGTAGTTTTGTACACAAATAAACTAAAAATAGAGTATTTCAGTATTTCTTAGGGGACAGAGGTGAAAACTGTTAGGAAACATGATTATAGGTTAAGAATCTTGATGGGAGTGGTAAATGTAATGTCGATCTGATTACTTTTATGTAGAAATAATTTAATAAAAACTTTCTTAAGGAGTACAATGAAGCCTTAGTCATCTTTATGATCCCATTGGCCTATCCAATGTTTTGTTTGGGTTCATGGATAACATTTAGTTAATTATCAGCACTATTTCATATTTTGTATGAAAAAAGAAACTGGTAATCTAATGAGACGCTATAGTAGATCTTTTATAGCAAATTTACTCAAAATAACTTAATTTGAGGGAGCATATAATATATGACATGTTACCAGGTTTTCAGTACCACAATGCACATTCCATTCAGAGAGCCTGCCTGAGCATAGCTTGGCAGGCATGAGTTTTTCCAAAAGAAGGAAAAAATAACATTCTTGCTTAAAATAGTCATTAAAGTGTCTAGGTCGCCCTCTCCTGGAAATCAGTGAAATTGCATCCTAAAAATGAAAAGGTGTTTGATGTTTTCTTAATCCAAGGAGGTATCCTTTCTACCATATCTTTTGCCTTCATGAAAGATACACTCTGTGTTAAATTAAAAGTTGAAGAGAAATATTTAGTAAAACGTTTTAGTATTATCACCATCGTAATTCCAGAATTACACTGGCTTGGGATTGCACACACTTCCTTTTCTACCGTCCACAAACTTTTCCCCAGATAAACCCAAGAGAAAACTTCAACCATATATTTATGTATTATAAGGTACATTTTATAACACAGCAATTTAAAATATCTGAGGAAGGAGAGACGAATTTGCCATGAAGGAAAGCACAGCTGAGAATTCCACAACACAGGCGTGAGGGTTGATGACAAAGGAGTGAAGGGCTGGTTTTCTAAATAGGAGGGGCAGTTTGCATGGATTTCAGTTGTTAAAGATGTTTTCATGTAGCCAGAGTTAACTTTTTCTTTATATTTTGAGATGAAATTTCAAGAAGTTTAACATTTAAAAGAAATCAATGGAAATGATTGGAATATATATTTAAACTATGGGACTGACTTTATAACGAGAGAGAACTTAGATAAGAGGGGCATTATACTGCCCTGATTTTCAGGTTTTATTCTGTTCAAACGACTTCATCATCTATTTAGATAGCAGAGTGAGTGTTTAAAGGCATCAATATGAAGAGGTATACGGACCTTATTTCTCTCCAGTTAGTCATGATGACTGTGTTTTATCTTTAAGGCGTATAGGGCGGCCATGCAGACACAGTGGAGCTGGATCTTACAACTCTGCCAATGTGTGGAGCAGCACGTGAAGGAGAACACAGCGTACTTTGAGGTATGAGAGTCGAACCAGAACTTCAGTACATAGTATTGTGATTGTGACTGATCAGCAGAAATCTTCCAAATTGATTGATGAGATATATAAACATATATGTAATATTAGTTTCATGTCCTACAGAATAGATTGAAGCATTCTGTTGAGGAAAAAAATCTTTAAAAAACCCCTTAAGATAGCAGAAAATGTTTATTCTACAAATATATCTCTTATTAAGGAAATGTTTTCATTATAGAGAATCAACCGTCTATAACCTTGAATTTTTAAAAGCGTAGAAGTTTTAAAATTTTCTTGGAATTTCAGTCCTACTTGAAAACTGTTTAGACCCTATCGTAAAACAGACCTTTGATCAAAATAATATAGAGCCCCAACATATGCATATTAACTTGGGACACTTACTGTTCACTCATAGCCATCCAAGTTTAAGGATTGTTTGGTCCAAGGAAGGATGTGGCCGTCAAGCTGTCGTGTTGCGCTTTTATCGTGTTCTCACTTGTGAAGGGTACACTTGATGACTCTGTGCTCAACTGGCATGCCAACATGCTATTATTGCTGGGTTTCATCTTTCCTTAGTTTTTCAATGATGCCAAAGAAGCTACTGATTACTTAAGGAATCTAAAAGACGCCATTCAGCGGAAGTACAGCTGTGACAGATCAAGCAGCATCCACAAGCTGGAAGACCTTGTTCAGGAGTCAATGGTATTGATACAGAAATCTGTAGGTTTTTTCAGTAGTGTACATAGTGATTAGATCTACCTAATTCAATTAAGCATTTACACATTCAGTTTTAGTATTTTTTGGTAACAAATTCAGCAGAAGTGTTTTTTATGTGATAGCCTTAACATTTTAACATTTTAAGACACTTTCATGGTGTTCTGTTGGGGGGGGAAGGGGAGAGAGAGAGAGAAAGAAAGAGAGAGAGAGATTAGGCATTCACTCCACAAATACTTGTGAAGTACTTAATATATCCCAGGCACTGTTGTAGGTGCTGGAGATGGAGCAGTGAACAAGGCAGACAAGCATCTTTACCCTTATAGTGCTTACAGGGTAGAGAGGGAGTTAGACAGTTAACAGGATGAATGAAAATATGGGTAGTATGTTAGACAGTGGAAAATGCTAAGGAGAAAAAAAAAAGACAAACCAAATAAGGGAAGAGGTATGCCAGAGAGGATGGGGAGAGATTGAGAGTTTAGATGAGGTGGCCAGAGAAGACTTTTCTGATGAGGTTTCATTTGCATGAAGCCGTAAAGGAAATGGAGTGCAGTCTTACTCTTTAAAATTGTCCTGTTTATCACTTAGGAGGAGAAAGAAGAACTTCTGCAGTACAAAAGTACAGTAGCAAGCCTGATGGGAAAAGCAAAAACAATAACTCAGCTGAAGCCAAGGAATTCTGACTGTCCACTCAAAACTTCTATTCCAATCAAAGCTATCTGTGACTATAGGCAAATTGAGGTACTTGTAATTCCTAGAAACAGAGCTGTTTCTGTGCTAATTCATATATTTTTTTAAGTGAGATCATATTGTTTCCTAGTGGTAAAGTGTTTTTCTCTCATTAAAAAAAAAAAAATTCCCAAGATCGAGTATGGAAAAAGATTTGCTCACAGTGACCTCATTGAGTTACTCTCTTCTTCATTTAAAACCAGATAACCATTTACAAAGACGATGAATGTGTTTTGGCGAATAACTCTCATCGTGCTAAATGGAAGGTTATTAGTCCCACTGGGAATGAGGCTATGGTCCCTTCTGTGTGCTTCACCGTCCCACCCCCAAACAAAGAAGCAGTTGACTTTGCAAACAGGTTTGTATGCATTAACTAAAAACTACAGTGGTTTGGGGGGCTGTCTGAAGTTTGAAGAAATAATCAATGCTTTATAAAGACCTGAAGGATCAGAAGTCTCTGGATCTTATTCACATGGGATATTTCACACACAAAAAGAAAAATCACGGCATGTTTTTAGAGGGAGCACAGAGAATTAGCCTTTTTCTTTCATCTGTTTCAGAATTGAGCAGCAGTATCAGAATGTCCTGACTCTTTGGCATGAGTCTCACATAAACATGAAGAGTGTTGTATCCTGGCATTACCTCATCAATGAAATTGATAGAATTCGGGCTAGCAATGTGGCTTCAGTAAGTATAAATCTATATGTCAACCCAATATGTCCAAATATGTGGGACACCTTGTCATGTGTGAGATTTTGTGTTTCCTCTAGGATAGGATGGAAGTTCATGCTAATATTCATTCATTCATTCAATGAATGTGATATGCCTACTTTATACATAGCACTTTCTTAGACTTGGAGGAATCTGGAGATCACAGATATCATTTGGGGCTTATTGGAAGTTAGGAAGACAGGACATAGGGGTTGGATATACAGATATGGGTATAACTTGATACTTGATTTGAATTTTATAGAATTGTGGGGTTTTTTTTGTCTTTTAAAACCTGAAATTGTTAATGAAAAAGAAAATTAGTTTCAAATGGTTCTTTTTATGACTATCAACATAAACTGGCATATACTATAAAACCAACCTGAGATCTATCCCATTCAGATTAAACTCTGAGTACTATAATCACTTAATTACATGCATCTTTGGTCTTCTTTAGATAAAGACAATGCTACCTGGTGAACATCAACAAGTTCTGAGTAATCTACAATCTCGTTTTGAAGATTTTCTGGAAGATAGCCAGGAATCCCAAATATTTTCAGGCTCAGATATAACACAGCTGGAAAAGGAGGTTAACGTATGTAAACAGTATTATCAAGAACTTCTTAAATCTGCAGAAAGAGGTAAAGTATGGAAATCCCTGTGTTTTTTCTTCATAGATATTTAGTCCAGGCTGTTTTTTGCTCTCAGTGGGAATTTCAGTCTTAAGTGTATTATGTCACTTGGCCTATGATCTGTAGACACAATTGCTGGGATGGTAAGAGCATGTTTTTGGGGTAGGAAGTTGTAGGGAGGGATTCATTTATATGATGACTCAACAAGACGTCAGCCAGATACTAGGACAAATAATGAATTCTTACTATCTCTGCTTTTCAGTGTTTTCACTATTTTGCAGTGTGATATTCAGAGTGGTGATCCTTCGGTTTTAGAAAAAGTTTAATTACTTTATCATTTACCGAACTTGGATTTTTTTAGAGATGAAAATAACAGGTTTTATCTAGCTAACATTTGTTAAATATATATTTTATTCTGAACTCTTTTGATATTACTTAGAGACAAACAATTGTATTTTCAATATTCTAATTCTTAAAATCTTAAACATTAACACATTCCTTACCTACTTTTCACTTTGAAGGATTTTTTTATTTGATTTTTATAATTAATCTGTATCTAATAAAATTCATATTTTTATGAACACAAAACAGCAGTATATTACTTTTTGGGGGCATCATTAGTATTTCAGATGACATTAGGACATTTTATTACCTTTTCTTAAATTTTAAGATTTATGTTCTAAGGTTTATAACCTTAGGGTAGGTTTGTCGAAACTGTTCGTTTGACTAGCTATGTCCCAGTAAGAGTAAGACTGCCATATTAAAACATGAGTAGGAACACCCAAAAGACAAAAAGCAAGGTATTTTGTAAACATTATGTTTGTTTTCACAGAGGAACAAGAAGAGTCAGTTTATAATCTCTACATCTCTGAAGTTCGAAACATTAGACTTCGGTTAGAGAACTGTGAAGATCGGTTGATAAGGCAGATCCGAACTCCCCTGGAAAGAGATGATCTGCATGAAAGCGTATTCAGAATCACAGAGCAGGAGGTGAGAGTTATAAATATGTTGGGGAAAAAAATTAACTTAAGGTAAATTATTCTCTTAACTGTGACCTTTTATGTGTTCAGCTTTACACACTGATTGCTTTGTGAGGTCTGATTAAGTATTTAGTGGTGATTGTAAATTAGAATTCCATAAATCAGATAAATACAGACACATACGCCCACTCACTCATTGTGATGGAATGAGAAGGGTCTTTCGTAATGAAAGAGATTATGCACCTTCTTTATGCAAAAGCACTAAGTTCCATGTTTGGGCTTAAGAAGGTGGGCAGGAAGGGAATTATGGGTTGTAGAACTTCAATGCCATAGCTCAATTTCTTTGATAAAGAAAAAGTAAAGGATATGCAGATTTTTAAGTCAATAGTTATAATGGGAAATGTGGTTTTTAAACTGTTTTAAGAAAAATGTGCTCATCTAGAGTGATTTTCAAATACTACCTATGTGTGTTCTCTGTTTATAGAAACTAAAGAAAGAACTGGAACGACTTAAAGATGATTTGGGAACAATCACAAATAAGTGTGAAGAATTTTTCAGTCAAGCAGCAGCCTCCCCATCAGTCCCCACCTTGCGATCTGAGCTCAGCGTGGTCGTTCAGAACATGAACCAGATCTATTCGATGTCTTCTACTTATATAGATAAGTACGTAACTGCTGTCTTAATATAGAGTTTGCCTTGTGCAACCATTATTTTTATATACTATCGGTTTAAAAATCCTCTTTTATGAATGCAAATATTCAATTTTATTTTGCCTTGAGAAATACTTTGAATATTTTTATGGATTTATGAGGCTTCTCTATGTTGAGAGGGGATGTATCTCAGAGATTAGTGCGTAATGTATGCTCCTCTACTTTTTGCATGTAATTTGGGTAGCTCAGCTGTTGTAGACTTTGGAATTTTCCTCTTGTGCTTGGCCTAAACAAGGTAAAAAAGAAACAAACCATCTTATGTTGGAATCGCTTGCTGAATACCACTATGGGTCAGGTCACAGTTGGGGTACATGCTGTTTATTAAGAAGAGAGTTATAAATGTTCATCTTATAGTAAATGTGTCGGTGTTCCAAGATGAAGAGCATGCTATGTCATGTGTCATAATGGTGCTTCAAAAATGTTGCAAAAATAAACATTTAGCAATAGGTGGCTATTGTTTACTTTCCTTTTTAAGGTTGAAAACTGTTAACTTGGTGTTAAAAAACACTCAAGCTGCAGAAGCCCTTGTAAAACTCTATGAAACTAAGCTGTGTGAAGAAGAAGCAGTTATAGCTGACAAGAATAATATTGAGAATCTCATAAGTACTTTAAAGGTATGAGTCTCACTTTTGGCTGTTTTTCAACAATCTATATGTAGTTCTCTAGCACTTAGCTTAGATTTTCTAACATCAGGCATTAAATATTTTACTTTGAATATATTTTTAACTGAATTTATTCCATTTCATGTCTCTATAAATCTACAGCTTACTATAAATAAGTGTGTTCAATCATTTTAACTTGAAGAGAGTCTTTTCATTTGAAGTTTGAACCTTTTTGACAGTAGCTTTTGATAGTCAATTCATGTTGACAACAAGAGGAGTTGAAGTTAAAAATTAAATTGCAGTAAGTCCCCTACATATGAACTTTCAAGTTATAAACTAAAGATGCACACCTTTAAAAAAATATATTATTTCTCTCCACTAGGTGTCAGTATAGCCCATTCAATGCACATAGTACTGTGTAGTTGATTGTGTTAGTTTGTTGAACTTAAAACAAATTGAACTCACAAACGCACTCTTGGAATGGAACTTGCTCGTATGTTGGGGACTCCTTGTATATATAATGGGTTTACTTGCTTAAAGAGGCAGTTATGTTAAGATATCAAGAATGTAAATAGATGCATTAATCTAAGAAAGGAAGAAGACTGGTAGTTATTATCTGTATTTCTATATATAAAGCACTTAGTAAGTCTCACCATTACAAAGCAAGTGTAAAAAGTTATCTCGGTGATTTTTAATGTACATGTTTCTTTTTTAATAATGGAATTAGTAGGCATTTAAAAATAGACAATGAAAAAGACTTATTTTACTTATGGAGGTAGCAAACTTGCTTATGAAATATATTTTATTTTGTTCTTTTGCAAATTTCATCAGGCTGCACTTCATAAAATTGTCATTTAAAACAAAATCAATGTATAGTCAAATATTGGCAATTTAATAATGTTTAAACTAATATATTTTCTTATATATGAAAGATATTCTTTCCTTTATCGATTTTAATCAATCTTTTGTAAGTAAATGATAAAATTAGGTGAGTAATGTGTTTATCCAGTGAGTAGCTGACTTTTTTTTTTATGTCTTTCACCAATTGTGTATCTTAGCAATGGAGATCTGAAGTAGATGAAAAGAGAGAGGTATTCCATGCATTAGAAGATGAGTTGCAGAAAGCTAAAGCCCTCAGTGATGAAATGTTTAAAACATATAAAGAACGGGACCTTGATTTTGACTGGCACAAAGAAAAAGCAGATCAATTAGTTGAAAGGTGGCAAAACGTTCATGTGCAGATTGACAATAGGTTAGTATCCTTTTTTATTCAGATTTAGCACAGATAAATGTCTGTCTGTGTATACAAGGTAAAATCTAAATGTATTAGGCTGTTTTTTTTAACTTCCATGGTTCATGTGCTAATTGTAATACCTCTGTCTAATTATATTTCTTTTATGGTGGACTTTAGTAAGACATTTAATTTCAAATGCATTTTTCAAATGTATTATCCATGTATTCTGGTATTTGTGTGGTTAATCTACTTGCCTTTTCTGAAGGAAAAAACAATATAGTTCTCTAATTATTACTAACTTATAATATGCAATAACAATGACTTAGTAAAAGCATGAATCATACATTTCGATAGGGCTACATGTAGCAATCTGTACTAGACCTAGGAAATGTAAAAAAGTTAAAATGACCTGATGTTCATTTTAATTAAAGGCACAAGAAAGTTGAAATTATTTACCCAGTGACTGAATTTAAAAAGTGAAAGGAAATGGGGTGGTGTTAGGGCTTATCTTAAAAGAAATGGATTAATGTCCTTTCTTATTCATTTTCATGTTTATATTAATGTGAATAAAATACTTTTATGAGATAGTGCCATTCTTGAAAAGTAAAATTATATTCAAATATATGGTATCTCTTCTCTGTAAAACATGTGGTAAATAGCTTACTGTAGTAGTTTTATTTTTTTTATTTATTTATTGATTTTTTTTTGAGTTGGAGTCTCACTCTGTCGCCCAGACTGGAGTGCAGTGGCCGCTCCCGGCCACCGCAGCCTTGACCTGCTGGGCTCCGGCGATCCTTCTGCCTCAGCCTTCCAAGTAGCTGGAACTACAGGCATGCGCTACCACACCCGGCTAATTTTTTTGATTTATTGTAGAGATGAGGTCTCACCAAGTTGCCCAGGCGGGTCTCGAACCTGCGGGCTCAGGCAATCCACTCACCTCAGCCTCCCAAGGCGCGGGATTACAGGCTGAGCCACCGAACCCAGCTGTAGTAGTTTTAAAATCATAGAAATGGGTATTTAATCACAGTTCCTGGAAAGCTCTCTCAGAGATCATGTTCATTGAATTATCTTCTGCATGACTTCAAAACTAAACTGCCATGTGATGCAAGCCTTAGCTATTCAAGATATCTGAGTGCTAAAAATCATGGTTGAGTTGATAATTTTCCTACTTTTCAGCTTTTGTCTCCTGCATTTGTCTCCGGAGTAACCAGTAAACACTAAATAATATGACTCCAGAGCAAAATGTTTATATTTAACCCATAGTTAACATGGAGAGCCTGAGGAGGTATACCTCAGGGTGCTTCAACCTTAAATTGCATCCACATACCCCTCTTGTGCTTAGTGTGATGCAGTGCAGTTGTTTTGTCTCTCCCTCTCTACACCTTCCGCCTTTCTAGTGGATAGCATTGGACATCGTGACTATTCTGTTGTTCTTCTCTTAGGTTAAGGGACTTAGAGGGCATAGGCAAATCACTGAAGTACTACAGAGATACTTATCATCCCTTAGACGATTGGATCCAGCAGGTTGAAACTACTCAGAGAAAGATTCAGGAAAATCAGCCTGAAAATAGTAAAGCCCTAGCTACACAGTTGAATCAACAGAAGGTATGTACAAACAATTCCTTGGACTTAGGTTGCGTCTGCATTTGATCAGTCATGATCCTTATCTTCCTTTCCAATGCTAAGAGAAAAAGCCACCAACTCTTTAGAGAAAGGTGGGGTGGGAAAGTGGATTTTAATATTTTCATCAATATTAAAATCTTGCATCCCAAACCTTCATGCATCACTTATTTTGATTCCTTGGAAGTCATTTTTTAAAGCATAGGTAAACAGAAAGTGAAGTGTTAGGATGGTTTTCAAATTCCTAATAATCATTTAATCATATGTATGGGAATCTCTTTGCTACTTTAGCTGGTCACAATAGTTTTGTGGCTTCCTAAATAAATAAAAATGATTATGGTAGAAAAGTTTAAACACTATACTTGACAGAAAGTTGAAAGTTTATGCTTTGAGATTTTTGTTCTGTCTTTAGGGGCCAGTAATTTTAGCTCTGTTTTCATCAGGAATAGGGGGTGGGCCAAGGGTGTCAGATATGCTTTTGAGGATCACTTATGTGGCCAAATCTGAAATTTTGTAGTTTATCCAGAAGGCAAGCTGCATATGAAGTACAAAGGGTTAAGGAGCTATACTGTGAAGTGATGTGGTTATGTCTTAGTTAAATATATTAAGTAACTGAATAGCGAGAATTCCTTGTCTTTGTATTTCTAGATGCTGGTGTCCGAAATAGAAATGAAACAGAGTAAGATGGATGAGTGTCAAAAATATGCAGAGCAGTACTCAGCTACAGTGAAGGTACGAAGATTCATTTTCTTTAGTCAAATTTAATATTCAGATATGTGGTTCTGCAAGCTTGTACTTTTAAAGCCACGAAGTCATTTCACTCAGTGTTAAAAAGCAAAGAGAGAATCTTCATCTGAACTTTTAAAAAACAATTCATTGTGACATCCGAGTCACATGAAAGCGCCCTGATTCATTCATTTTTTTCTCTGTCGGACATGTATATGAGTATGTGTGAACCAGAATAAATATACAGCTTTGAAGTTGTTTTCTTATCATTTTTCTCCCTCTCTCTCTTTTTTCTTTAGCATTCTTAGAATATTCCATGGGAGAACTTCTAACTTTCTCACTGAAGGGACAGTTCTCATGCTTTTCAAATTACCATTGACAGCTTCTTAACTTTAGCCTTCCAGTTCCGTGGATCCATTGTCTAGCTGGAGGAAAAAGAGACTTCGTATACCTATAATATAGTAATCAGTGTTTTCATGAGCTTCCAGAGAGCCTGGGAAAGTTATCTGAGCACCCCTACATGTTTCTGGTTTTATCACCATCTTGGAAGCATCTCCAGGATTGGATAGATTCCTAAAAATGTAGTTTTACGATACAGTCATGCCTAGCTTGACAATGGACATATGTGCCCAAAATGCGCCATTAGGTGATTTTGTCACTGTGCAAATAGTATGGAGTGGACTTACACAAACCAAGATGGTATTGCCTGCCATATGCCTAGGCTATGTGGTATAACCTGTTGCTCCTAGGCCACAAATCTGTACAGCATGTTGCTGTACTGAACACTGTAGACGGTTGTAACCCAGTGGTAAAGTATGTGTGTATCGAAACTCTAAAAAGGTATAGTACAAATGGGGAATAAAAGATAAGAAATAGTACATCTGTGTAGGGCATTTACCATGAATGGAGCTTTTGGGATTAGAGGATGGAAGTTCTCTGGGTGAGTCAGTTTTTGAGTGAGTGATGTGTGAATGTGAAAGCCTAGAACATTACTTATGCTGCACAGACTTTATAAACACTGTACACTTAGGTTGCACTAATTCATTTAAAAATTTTGTTTTTCAATAATGAATTAACTTTAGCTTACTGTAACTTTTTAACTTTATAGACTAAAAATTTTTAACTTTTGACTTTTGTTTTAATAACACAGCTGAAAACAAACCTTATATCACTGTAGAAAAGTATTTATGTCTTTATAAGCTTTTTTTCTGTTTAATTATTTTTGACTTTTTAAACTTGGTTGTTCAAAATGTAGACACAAACACATTCATTAGCCTAGGCCTACACTGGGTCAGGAACATCAACACCCCTGTCTTCCACCTCCCCATTTTGCCCCACTGGAAGGTCTTCAGGAACAATAACATGCATGAACCTGTCGTCTCCTATGGTAGCAATGCCTCTTTCTGGAATACCTTCTGAAGGACCAGGCTGTGGCTCTTTTACAGTTGAATTTTTTTTATAAGTAGAAGGAGTACCTTCTAAGATAATGATTACAAGTATATTGTAGTAAATATATAAATCAGTAACATAGTCATTTATTATCAAGTTTTATGTACAGTACATAATTGTATGTGCAATTTTTATACAACTGTCATCTAAGTAGGCTTGCTTACACCAACATCACCACACACATGTGAGTAAAGCTTTATACTGTGACATCACTAGGCAATAGGAATTGTTCTGCTTTTCTTATAATCTTAGGGGACCTGTCATACATACGGATCTGTCCTTGATTGAAACATTCTTGATTGAAAATACAGTGCATGACTGTATTGTCTATATTTACAGTTAATCTAGATTGTAATATCTGTGCTAAATGACTATAGACTGACACATTAGTACTTCAGTTAATTTTGTCTTACCGTTTCCTTTGTACAGGACTATGAGTTACAAACAATGACCTACCGGGCCATGGTAGATTCACAACAAAAATCTCCAGTGAAACGCCGGAGAATGCAGAGCTCAGCAGATCTCATCATTCAAGAGGTAATAAAAGTATGAGAGAGAGGGGAAGGGGCATAAAAGAAATAGCACTTTTAAAAACAATTTATTATGGTGAAGTATACATAATATATAACTTACCATTCTAACCATTTTAAATGTACAATTTAATGACATTTCAGTATATAACAATGTTGTGCAGCCATTGCCCAGCTATTTCCAGAACTTTTTCATCATCCCAAACAGAAAATCTGTACACAGAACAATACATTTCATTAAGGGTTTTAAAAAACTCTTTTAAGACTATTTAATTATTAACTATAGAGATGAATAAATGCACTTCATGGTGAACTTAAGAAGGTAATTGTCATTTAGTATGGCTTGGACAACAGTAATAAGCCCATCCCTTCCATTTGTTATCGGGGTATTGTGTGCTTTACTGCCCCAAAGCCTAATTAATATTGTAATTATTGCTCAAAGTTCAATTCAACTATACAGCAACTGGAGATCATGTTTGTATTCTTTTTGTCCTTACTTACAGTTCATGGACCTAAGGACTCGGTATACTGCCCTGGTCACTCTCATGACACAATATATTAAATTTGCTGGTGATTCATTGAAGAGGCTGGAAGAGGAGGAGGTAGCTATTGACAATGAAAAGCTAAATAAAAAGGAGCTAGATATTAGGAGAAACTACAATATGGTTTGGAAAAGCAAAGAAGCTTTCATGATAAATTTATGTGACTGATAGCAGATATATAGTCATTATTTAATTAAAGATTGCTATGAAAATAGGGGAAGGTGTAGGACTTTTTTAATTTTAAGATTCTTTCAAACAAAAGGGTATTTAAAATTTTTCACTTTAAGACTCTAGTATGATAGTGCTAATGTTGTAAATGGTTCTATTTAAATACGAGATGTTGGCAGTTTGGGGAAGTTTCTTCAGCTTTGTCACAGCTGAGAAGTATATTTCTTTGAAGAATAGTTATTGCTATTATGGTGTTTACAGAAATACTACATGAATACATTTGTTTTATGCATTTTAAATTAATTTAAATCTTTAAGACATTAAATTTATTATAAATAACAAATACATTAAAAGATAAAAACTTAAAAATAGTAGGCATTTGTATAAAATGATGCTACTTTTTAATAATTGTGGAGTTTTGGTTTTGTTTTTGCCAAAAAGATATGGGGTATGGTCAAAAGACACTTTAATCACCATTCTGATTTGGATGACTTCTGCAGCTTTGATTCTGCATTTAAAAATTATATCCGGAAATAGAAAAAGTATAGAGTTACTTATAAAAATCAGTTGTCATAAAAGTCCATTTAATCTAATCTTAAAGGGATGATGCTATACTTTATTATCTTGATATGCTTTCTATTCCTCAGAACAGACAAAAATAGTAGGCTGAATGCTAAAGTAAGTAAGTTGTGGGGGCATTAGCCATTTTAAATTGTATTGTTGTGGAAATTCAGAAGAAACCATACTTGTTGCAACTCAGTTCATATAATAAAAGAGCAAAACAGCAATAGACGTCTATTGGACATTACTTTCTTGGTTTCTAGAAATGTGATCTCTTTTGTAAACTATTTTGGTCTGTTCGGAGTTAACAGTATTCTGCAGCTAAATCACTAACATAACTAATTGCAAGACTTTATAACCAGCTTCCTTTGTGCTTAGGAAGGAGAACCAGAATATTTGTGACTATCTTAGTAATTGGCATGTACCTCTCATCCATGAAAAAAATCCATAACTTTTTTTATATTTTTAGTTTTTGAGAGATCTTATTCCATTTTAAATTGTATGCAGATCTGTTAAATTGTATATGCAGTAGTTTAAATGTAAAACAAAATAAGTCCTAGCCGGGAACCATGGCTCACGCCTATAATCCCAGCACTTTGGGAGGCAGAGATAAGAGAATTGCCCGAGTCCAGGGGTTCAAGACCAGCCTGGGCAACTTGGCGAGACCTTGTCTCTACAATAAATTTTAAAAAATAGCCAGGTGTGGTGACGCACACCTCTGATTCCAGCTACTTGTAAGGCTGAGCGGAAGGATCACCTGAGCCCAGCAGGTCGAGGCTGCTGTGGCCGTGGGCATGCCACTGCCCTCCAATCTGGGTGACAGAGTGAGTCTCCAGCTCAAAAAATAAATAAAATAAAATAAGTAATTTTCTTTACTTATGGTATGTATCTGATTATACATATGTGGGCCACTTTGCTCAGTGTATCTAATGAGGCTGAATACTAGCCATTAATAGAAAAGAAAAGTATTTCAGAAGTCATAAAATATATACAAATTATTGTTGTCATTTTTTGAAATGTCAAAAATGTATAGTTAATTGAAACTGGCAAGTATAGTTATGAAAGAATGTGGAAATAATATAATTTAAAATTGATCAGAAAACCACCATTTAAGGATTGTATTTTTATCATTATTGTATGTATAAGGATCATATAATGGAATGAGCTTATGAAAGATATATAGCTCAGTTTTTAGAATTAAAAGAGTAGTGTTTCTGAAATTGGGACTAGACAAACCTTGGTCTGATAGCAGAATTTTCCATAATAAACATAAAATCAAAGATAGATTCAAATTAATTTCAGAAGTAATACCAACTTAGCTAGACAAATATTAGTAGAATATATGTAATAGATATTAGATGTGATAGGAAGATTCTTTAGTCTGTGTTGAAAGCAAAATATAGTAAATATTAAACTCTGTGATTAAAAAGGACAATATTGAGGAAGATTTAGGAAAAACTTAAGGAAGTTATTTTTATGTGAAAAAGTTTGAGTTCTGTAAGAAAACAAATCAGCAGCTGCACTGAATTATTTCTATAGTTTTTTTCATATTATCTAAATAAATTAAAAAGCTATCAAGGTAACATGAGATTATTAACAAATTACTAAAATGATTCTAATTAAGATACATAGCAGATATTATTTTCCTGAGGGAATTTTTATTTTTTAAATCTCAGAGCGGGATCAGGGCTCAAAACTTCTTAGTTAAATTTTAAAGGAGATTTGATAAGACTAAGAAAGACAGTCTTAGAAATCATCTGCTCAAAAATACTCGTAGCTTAATATTTAAATACATAAAATGCTTCAGTGTCACAAAGAATTGACCCTGGTAACAAAATAAAGAAAGTAGACTGCTGAGCATAGCACATTGTGATCAGATATATTTCTATATGACTCATTCTTAGAAACCTTATTTATGTTAGCATAGGAAACAACCAAAGTTCTCGTCAAAATTATTGGGCATCAGAGAAAGCAAAATAAGATATATGGTCTATACGTTAAATTCTTGAAATTGACCAAAGCTTCTTAGTGAAAACAAATCTGCTATCTAGAATAAATTCTCCATTCCTTTTTTAATTGTTTCTAATTATGGTGATCTTGAGTTGATGATACAAAACTAATAACATGATGGTATTAATAGAGAGAAATTAAATTGTAATTGTAAACTAGTCCTGCTCATGCAGTTTTGTTGTCAAGGTAAAGTGTTCTCCTCCCAGCTGCAATTGAGTCTATCATTAGTAGAGTAAAAAGTTTTTATTATATTTTATTCTATACATTGGAGCTGAATTCCTAAGTATATTTTTAGAAACAATTATATTTAACAAATGTATTTATATTTATGGAGTATCTAAAGGTACTTGTTGAGGTGGATTCATATGAGGCATGTTATTATCAGCAGCAACAAAATCTGAGTATATGAGGCACATCCTCTAAAACCATCAGGAACTGTGGCTGCCTTTGCATTAGCAATTCTGATTATTATAATTGTCACCATGTAGCAAGCAAAAAACAGTAAGGAATTGGATGTTAGAAATCTCAAGTTTTTATATAATTTTCCTCCGTCCCCATGTTCAGTGTTACTAATTTGGCTTTCTGTTCTAAAATTCTGTGATTTGTTTCTTTTATAATAAAACATGGAAATGTAAATATCATTTTAAGTTTTCATCAAGCTAGATATTGAAAAATTGCATTCTTTGGTATCATTCAGTTCCTGTATGTCACGTGTTCTGCCTAGCTTGTAGGACTAAGCTGCATGCAGGAACAGAAAGAGCACCGTTGTGAGAGTTTTATTTCCCACTCTGTCACCCACCCATTGTGAGTTTGCAAAATATGTAACTTCCTTGTATCTCCCTTATCTGTAAAAGGTTGGGTCATGCTATATGTTTCATAAGGCCCCTTCTTGCTATAAAATCCTAAGCTAGCTAATTTTTAAAATAAAATTATTTCTGAGAGATTTTTTAAAGAAGTTCTGCAGGCAACCTGTCATGAAAGGTTTTTGGTCCTTTCCTGCTGCTGACTTTCTGAAGCTTCCTCTCTGAAGAAGGTGGTGCTGGTGGTGGCGGTGATAGCGCTTGTTCTGCATTTGGGTCCACTTGGCTTTGTAAGTGCTTTTATGAACCTTGCTTCGGATTCTGTAAGCTGCATTTGAATAGAACGGGTTTGATGCTTTCAAAATGTCTCTCGTAGATTAAAAGGTGTAAGGAGACTTCGGAACATGGGGCCTACTCAGATCTGCTTCAGCGTCAGAAGGCCACAATGCTGGAGAACAGCAAACTCACGGGGAAGATAGGGGAACTGGAAAAGATGGTAGCTGAACTAAGAAAACAAAAGACCCGAGTAGAGGAAGAACTTCCAAAGGTCAAGGAGGCTGCCGAAAACGAGTTGAGAAAGCAGCAGAGAAATGTTGAAGACATCGCTCTGCAGAAGATAAGGGCTGAGAGTGAAGCCAAGCAGTACCGTAGGGAACTGGAAGCCATTGTGAGAGAAAAGGAGGCTGCCGAGCGGGAGCTGGAGCGGGTGAGGCAGCTCACCATGGAGGCTGAGGCCAAAAGGGCCTCCGTGGAGGAGAACCTCCTGAATTTTCGGAATCAGCTAGAGGAAAACACCTTTACCAGAAGAACCTTGGAAGACCACCTTAAGAGAAAAGATTTAAGTCTCAGTGATTTGGAACAACAAAAGCATAAGTTAATGGAAGAATTAAGAAGAAAGAGAGACAAAGAGGAAGAACTCTTGAAGCTGGTAAAGCAGATGGAAAAGGACCTTGCATTTCAAAAACAGGTAGCAGAGAATCAGTTGAAAGAAAAGCAGAAAATTGAATTGGAAGCAAGGAGAAAGATAACTGAAATTCAGTATTCGTGTAGAGAGAATGCACTGCCATCTTGTGCCATCCCACAGGCTACCTCATACAGGGCTATAGCAGGTCTTCAGAAAGAACATGACAAACAGAAAGCAGAGGAACTCAAGCAGCAGGTGGATGAGCTAACAGTTGCCAACAGAAAGGCTGAAAAAGAAATGAGAGAGCTGAAGTATGAGCTTAATGCCCTCCAGTTTGAAAAAACGTCATCTGAGGAAAAGGCTCGGTTGCTGAAAGATAAACTGGATGAAACAAACAATACACTAAAGTGCCTGAAGTTGGAGCTGGAAAGGAAGGATCAGGTAGAGGAAGGGTATTCTAAACAACTCCGGGAACTTGGAAGGCAGTTGAACCAAACCACAGGCAAAGCTGAAGAAGCCATGCAAGAAGCTGATGACCTCAAGAAGATCAAGCACAACTATCAGCTAGAACTAGAATCTCTTCATCATGAAAAAGGGAAACTGCAAAGAGAGGTAGACAGGATCACTCAGGCACATGCTGTAGCTGAGAAGAATATCCAGCACTTAAATTCACAAGTTCATTCTTTTCGGGGTGAGAAGGAGTTCGAAAGAGTACGAATCTGCCAAAGAAAATCAGATCATCTCAAGGAGCAGTTTGAGAAAAGCCATGAGCAGTTGCTGCAAAATATTAAAGCTGAGAAAGAAAATAATGATAAAATCCAAAAGCTTAATGAAGAATTGGAGAAAAGTAACGAGTGCGCAGAAATGCTAAAACAAAAAGTAGATGAGCTTACTAGGCAGAATAATGAAACCAAATTAATGATGCAGAGAATTCAGGCTGAATCGGAGAATATTGTTTTAGAGAAACAAACGATCCAGCAAAGATGTGAAGCCCTGAAAATCCAGGCAGATGGTTTTAAAGATCAATTGCGCAACACAAACGAGCACTTGCATAAACAGACCAAAACAGAACAGGATTTTCAAAGGAAAATCAAATGCCTGGAAGAAGACCTGGCCAAAAGTCAAAATTTAGTAAGTGAATTTAAGCAGAAGTGTGACCAGCAGAACATTATCATCCAGAATACCGAGAAGGAAGTTCGCAGTCTGAATGCAGAGCTGAGTGCTTCCAAAGAAGAGAAGCGACGTGGAGAGCAGAAAGTTCAGCTGCAGCAAGCTCAGGTGCAAGAGCTAAATAACAGGTTAAAAAAGGTACAAGATGAACTGCACCTCAAGACCATCGAAGAGCAGATGACCCACAGGAAAATGGTTCTGTTTCAGGAAGAATCTAACAAATTCAAACGCTCAGCAGAGGAGTTTCGTAAGAAGATGGAGAAATTAATGGAGTCCAAAGTCATCACTGAAAATGATATTTCATGCATTAAGCATGACTTTGTGTCTCTCCAGCAAGAAAACTGTAGAGCTCAAGAGAATGCTAAGCTTTGTGAAACAAATATTAAGGAACTTGAAAGACAGCTTCAAGAATACCGTGAGCAAATGCAACAGGGGCAACACGTGGGAGCAAATCATTACCAGAAATGTCGGAAACTCGAGGATGAACTGATAGCCCAGAAACGTGAAGTTGAAAACCTGAAGCAAAAAATGGACCAACAGATAAAAGAGCATGAACTTCAATTAGTTTTGCTCCAGGGTGAAATCCAAAAAAAGAACACAGCCAAAGACTGTACCTTCAAACAAGATTTTGAGGTGACAGTGAAGGAGCATCAGCACTCTGGAGAGCTCTCCTCCAGTCACACTGGACCTCTTCCCCCAGTGGCCAGACCCCCTCTGTTGAGATGGACTCAAGAACCACAGCAGTTAGAAGAAAAATGGCAACATCGAATTGTTGAACAAATACCAAAAGAAGTCCCATTCCTACCACCAGGGGGTTCACTTGAGAAAGAAAAAAGCCAGCAGTGTTACTCTGAGTACTTTTCCCAAACAAGCACTGAATTACAGATAACTTTTGATGAGACAAACCCTATTACAAGACTACCTGAAATTGAGAAGATAAGAGATCAAGCACTGCACAATTCCAGACCACCTCTTAGGTATCAAGATAACAAATGTGAAATGGAACTGGTGAAGCTTTTGACACCCTTAGAGGTATACTCTGTCTTCTGAGACCTTATCCACTACCTTAGATCAAGTTTCCTTTCTTTCCTAGACTAAATTTTTAATAATTTTGAATGGGGTTGGCTTCTTGTGGCCCGCATTTGAACAGGCACACCATTTGCACAGGAAAGTAATGCAGTAATTTTTTTAGTGATTTAACTGAATCTTTTTATAGATCAGTGTTCTCTAAGTTTTGAATGTTTGAGATCAAACATATAGATGGGTATACTGTTATATCTGTGGGAATATATTTTTAAAAATGTGACTATAAAGAAAGCTAGAACCATGCGGTTAATTTGAACATCTAACATGTTCTGTGGCTAAATTTCATCTCAGTCTTTTTCAAACGTACCATTTTAATACTTGTAATTGTCATCTGAGGTAAACTTGAGACTCTGAAAATAATATTACTTATTCCTGATCCCTCCTTGAAACTTTTCTTCTCTTCATAATTCAAGGAATTATGTTTGGATTGAGAATGGGTAAAGCAACAGCATGTTCTTTAGGTGAGTTTTAACATCTCATAAATTCCTGTTACAGATAGCTAAGAACAAGCAGTATGATATGCATACAGAAGTCACAACATTAAAACAAGAAAAGAACCCAGTTCCCAGTGCTGAAGAATGGATGCTTGAAGGGTACAGAGCATCTGGTGGACTCAAGAGAGATTTCCTTAAGAAAGGCTCAGAACCAGAGACTTTCCAGAACCTCGATAGTGATCTTGCATGTTCAGTTAGGGATGATGAATTTAAATTCCAGGGGCTCAGGCACACTGTGACTGCTAGGCAGTTGGTGGAAGCTAAGCTTCTGGACATGAGAACAATTGAGCAGCTGCGACTTGGTCTTAAGACTGTTGAAGAAGTTCAGAAAACTCTTAACAAGTTTTTGACGAAAGCCACCTCAATTGCAGGGCTTTATTTAGACACTACAAAAGAAAAGATTTCATTTGCCTCAGCAGCCAAGAGAATCATCATAGACAAAATGATGGCTTTGGCGTTTTTAGAAGCTCAGGCTGCAACAGGTTTTATAATTGATCCCATCTCAGGTCAGACATATTCTGTTGAAGATGCAGTTCTGAAAGGAATTGTTGACCCTGAATTCAGAATCAGGCTTCTGGAGGCAGAGAAGGCAACTGTGGGATATTCATATTCTTCTAAGACATTGTCAGTGTTTCAAGCTATGGAAAATAGAATGCTTGACAGACAAAAAGGTAAACATATCTTGGAGGCCCAGATTGCCAGCGGGGGCGTCATTGACCCTGTGAGAGGCATTCGCGTTCCTCCAGAGATGGCTCTGCAACAGGGCTTGTTGAATAATGCCATCTTACAGTTTTTACACGAGCCGTCCAGCAACACACGAGTTTTTCCTAATCCCAATAACAAGCAAGCTCTGTATTACTCAGAATTACTTCGAATGTGTGTGTTTGATGTAGATTGTCAGTGCTTCCTGTTTCCATTTGGGGAGAGGGACATTTCCAACCTCAATGTAGAGAAAACTCATAAAATTTCTGTAGTGGATATTAAATCAGGAGCAGAGCTGACTGCATATGAGGCTTTCCAGAGAAACCTGATTGACAAAAGTATGTACCTTGAACTTTCAGGGCAGCAGTATCAGTGGAAGGAAGCCACGTTTTTTGAATCCTATGGGCATCCTTCTCATATGCTGACAGACACTAAAACAGGATTGCAGTTCAACATTGATGAGGCCGTAGAGCAGGGAATAGTTGACAAAGCCTTGGTCAAAAAACATCAGGAAGGCCTCATCACACTTACAGAACTTGCTGACTCTCTGCTAAGCCGGTTAGTTCCCAAGAAGGATTTGCATAGTCCTATTGCAGGATACTGGTTGACAGCTAGTGGGGAAAGGATCTCTGTCCTAAAGGCCTCCCGGAGAAACTTGGTTGATCGGATTACTGCCCTCAGATGCCTTGAAGCCCAAGTCAGTACAGGGGGAATAATTGATCCTCTCACTGGCAAGAAGTATCGGGTGGCCGAGGCTTTGCTTAGAGGCCTAGTTGATGAGGGCTTTGCCCAGCAGCTGCGACAGTGTGAACTAGTGATCACGGGGATTGGCCATCCCATCACTAACAAAATGATGTCAGTGGTGGAAGCGGTGAATGCAAATATCATAAGTAAGGAAATGGGAATTCGATGTCTGGAATTCCAGTACTTGACAGGGGGATTGATAGAGCCACAGGTTTGCTCTCGGTTGTCAATAGAAGAGGCTCTCCAAGTAGGTATTATAGACGTCTTCATTGCTACCAAACTCAAAGATCAGAAATCATATGTCAGGAATATAATATGCCCCCAGACCAAAAGAAAGTTGACATACAAAGAAGCCTTGGAAAAAGCTGATTTTGATTTCCACACCGGGCTTAAACTGTTAGAAGTGTCAGAACCTTTGATGACAGGAATTTCTAGCCTCTACTATTCATCATAACAGGACATGTTTAAATGACTTTGTGCAAGGGGTGTTGCAGGTGAATTCACACCATTTGTCCAGAGCATGTTGGTGTCAGCTAAATGTTCAGGCTTGGAATTGTGTTACTTGTTCTTGTTTCTTGAGGGCTGAAAGTCCCTGATTGCTCAGAAAGAGAATAATATTTAAATGGAAAATGACAAAAGATTTATCGCCTTTAAAATGGTTCTATTAGCTTTGAGAATGGTTTTCTGAATCTTGCACACACTAAAATAAACATGTTGTGCCTAGAATGTGGAATAAGGTTGATAAACTTCAACAAGTTCACAGTGTCATTTCTTCAGAACTGCCTTCACTGATTAGATCCAGCCTGGTGTTAGTGTTCTCATTTAATAATTAATAACATTGCGCACACATTGAGCAAGCACGTCTCAAAGCTTGGAATCAAAGAGAAAGATGCAAATTCATTTCCACATCAACAAAGCTGCAGTGTTTTCAGTTGCTTCAAAAAATGGAAAAGTTTTGCCTTTTCCTGTATATAGTAACTTTCTTTTATATTAAAATGTTTGCCACAGTCTCTCATTTCTAGGTAAGACTTTGGGGTGAAAAGCTAACTTTGACATATTGTGTGTTGGAGAAGGAGGAGTTTTCTTCCTTCTGTGTATTTTTCTCATTTGTGTAGACATCCTTTGTTCTTTCATCCTTCTGCTCTGTTACCTTTCTGTCAAGACAACCGTGATTGTGTTGCTCATGCAAAGGCAGCAATTCAGGCATCTGCTAGTGCCTCATGAATAAAGCTGAGTTTTTACGTTTGTCATATCAATGGAACAGCTGGGAGGTTAGATGAATCACTAAAGCGTGTGTCACAGCTTTCTTTACTGCTGTAAGCATTTTGGAGATCTGGTATCTGTCATGGTTAATATGGTTACGTGAATGAATAAAATATTTTTGTAACCTGTGTGTGATGAAAAAGCATTTTTACATTCTTGTTTTTTATAGAGAGGTCAGTTTAATAGTTCCATCATTTACTGGAATGTATCTTTTTTTTTTTTTAACCACTCACACCTGTCAGAAGTCATTGGAAGAAGAAAAGAAAGAGCATGTTGAAAAAGCCAAAGAATTACAAAAATGGGTATCAAGTATCAACAAGACATTGAGAGATGGAGAGAAGGCTGGAAAATCTCCCTTCTCTAAGCAAAAGGTATTCACAGAGGTCCTGGTATTTTAATAACAATAGTAATAATAGAATTTGCTGAATTGATAGTTCACCAAGCACAATGTTTAATTCTTTAATTTCCCCCGTTTTTATAGCCCTTCAGAGAGATTAAGTAACTTCCCCAAGAAGTCACAGTCAGTGTGTGGCAGAAGAAGGTATCTGATTCCAAAGCCTGAACTATATATACTGGCCTTACTATTAGTACTGGTGTGGTGTACTGTTTTTCTAATAGTTGGTTCTGCTTTCTGATTATCTTGATGAGATTGCTGAAGAGCAGAGCCATCTTGTTTTGTGTCTAGGTAAATCCATGCACTTCATATCATAAGGATATGCCATCTTATTCTTACAGATGTAAACATAAAAAGTTTCAAGAACAAGTGAAATACAAACAAGGATATTAACATTCTAGAGTATTGACTTTACATGTGCTTTTCTGGATGTTTTCTGTGTCATAAGAGAGCATCTACAGCCAATCCCCAGAAACTCTAGATTCTTTTCTTTACCCAAGTGAATTATTTGGTCCTATGGGCCATCTCCTGTACCCCAACTGCTTAGCATCAGTTGGATAGTTACAGCTCGGGGAATGTTAGTGCACCCTGGTGTCTATTGGACTGTACCACTTGAAGCTCTTAGAATGTTAGTAGTTAGGGTATAAATTCTAGTATTGCTGCTGCTGTTGGCGGTACTGGAATTGTTGCTGTTTATTTAAAAAAAATAAATTTCCACTAAGATAAGTTTTTTTCCTCAAGGAACATTTTTCCTACACTGCCCCTTGCATGGCACTTGGAAATCTCAGGGGCTGTCATCTGATCTTGATATTTAGCTCCTCTTTCTAAGTCTGCATCAGTACTCAGTCATCAGCTGACACAGATATCGTTGATATGATTAAATAGGGGAGCATGTCAGTGTCTTGTCTAATTTCGCCTTTGGTGTGAGGCAAACATTCCTTATCTGGGGTTCTTTCTTGGAGAAGTTTATAGACCTGAGTATATACTTGCAATATTATTCAATGGAAATAAAGTCGTAGTAACTCATAGTCTTGCATACTACATTTTATATAGTGTGAAAGAAATGAGACATTTGAAAGCACTTACATTTGGTGTTTAAAACCAAAAGTCTTCAAAGTAATTTAATGCATATATTTTATTTAAAATGTCTTCCTTTTTTCCCCCTTCATCAATAGGAAGACAACCAAAATAGGAACATAAATCTTAGCATAGATTTCTTGGGAGAGCAAGTTTCTTTGGAGAAATGTGGATTATAAGCCCATGGCATTTTCACATTCTGTGGTTTTACATTCTCCAGAACATTGCTAGGTCAGATATAGACTTAGTACACATAAAAGTAGACAGATACATTTTTAATGCATTTTAGTGCATTTTTGGGATCTTCATTATAACTTTCTAAGGACACTTGATAGTCCCTCAGTTAAAGAAAATTAAAGGTAACTTGATATGAATAACAAGTTTCTCCTTCAAAAATCAGTATGGCCTCATGAGTACCTATAACCATGAAAACCTTAAATTGACTAAAAAGGGTACATGGGGGAAAATATGTCTTTTCATTAACCCATTTCCTTGCATTTCTGCTCATTTAAAAGAATGGCATCTAATTTTTTAAGGCATTCAGAATTGATAACTGAGGGATTAGGAGATAGTGTTACAGCCTCTTGCTGTAACAGATCAACTTTATTCTTCTGACTGTCACAGATGACTTTTACAAGATCATAGCATTAGACTTTTACAATAGTCTTAGCATTAGAAAGTATTCTTGATCTGCAGACCTACAGATTAGTAATTTCACTGTAATTTTTTCAAAGGGACCACTGTATCTAGGTGACACACTTTGGAAGGAGTGTTTCACATTCGTGTATCTTTTGAGTACTGTGATGTACTAGGACAGTATTGGGTGGTGAGGCCACCTTTATTCATGGTTGGGCTGAGACAAATGCAAGAACCATATAATCATTTCCTCACAAAAATGATGGCATTAAGGGTAGAGAGGGGAGTTTTCCTTAAGTATTGTAAGTAAAGTGCTCTTCTTATCCAGGTCTATAGACTGCTAGAATGAATAGATTATTAACTTGGATCAACAAGGAAATGGACCTTTTATTTGGGTCTTGATTAAAACTTGATTCATTAAAACAAAAAAACAAAACCTACTGTCTTCAGTTATTTTGAGGGGAGAGTTTGAATGTGCCTTCTTTAACTTCCAGATTTCCAGTGAGGAAATATCAACCAAGAAGGAACAGTTATCTGAAGCACTTCAAACCATGCAGCTTTTTTTGGCTAAACATGGAGATAAGTATGTTGATTGTCATTAGCGTTTATTCAGAGTTGGGAAGTGTTCTTAAAAACATTCAACAAAGCAGAAGTTGGTCAATTTTAATTGATATTTACAAAGTAGAACTCAAACTAATCACAGATTTACTTAATACAGTAACATAAAGAGTATAAACTTAGCAGTTTATAAATTTATTAAGTTTATACTAAGTATAAAGTATAAACTTAATTGATTGTCACTCTTAATCTTTACTACAAGACTAAACAAGACTAAAACGTACTTATTATTCCCACACATTGCTGATAAGGAAAGAGACTCAGAGAAGTTAAGGATTAACAGCTAGTGAGAGGCAGAATGAAGACTCCAAGTCAAGTCTGAATTCTAAGTAGTACTCTGAGACTTTTTTACCTTTTCGAAGACATGTCCAAATTTCTTCTTCATTTTCTTATCTGAGACCTATGGCAACCTGATTTCTCACACTTTGGTCCTATGTTTTGTAACAAGGCACTTGTTTCAACCAACCTCAGTCAGGGAAGGAATTCACGTTATTCTTAAAGCCTTTTTGGAAGTCCTCTTTAGGATTATTCCAAAACGACTTTGCATTCTATCCTAGAGAATCAGGTTAATCTCCTCGTTAATTTCCTCTTGATGTATCCTTCGATTTAAACTAGTTTAATTTTGAGAAATGGGACCTTACTGTCCTTTTTCTACTTTGGGACTAGCAATGGGCTCTTTTCCTGTGTCAGATAGCAGCAATTATTGCTCTAGAAATGTGTGTGTTAGAAAAGTGTCAATATATTAGTTTATACCCTTTCCTTCAGTTCCTTTCTCAGGCAAGGAAAAGTTTCCCAGATGTTTTTAGGACCATTCTTAATTTTCATATACAGTCATATCAAGACCTGAGCAATATGTATGCAAGGCTATATTTTATTTTCTTTTATTTTATTTTAGGATCAAGTGACAAACTTACTGAACCTGATATATCATCTTTATCACTTGAGAAGTTGCACTACACTTTTCATTCTTTCTGGTTATTTTAGAATGACAGATGAAGAAAGAAATGAATTGGAAAAACAAGTGAAAACTCTTCAAGAAGGTTATCATTTGTTATTCAGCGAATCTCTGAAACAATTACAAGAATCGCAAACCTCAGGAGACGTAAAAGTAGAGGAGAAGGTAATATTATTTAGTTAAAACACGAAGCTGTTTCAAGAAGCTTAGTTTTATTGCATGGCTGTGGAAATCTATGTCAATAATAAATAAATAACTTTGAATTTTGTACATGGATAAACCATAGATGGAGTTCATTGAAATGTTTGGAGGTTTCAGTGTTGTTTATTAAATGCAGTCTTACACATGCTGATCATCAGTTCTGTGACATCTTAATCTCTGCCTTGCATGGTAAAAGAAAAGAATCATTCATTTTTCTAACTCTTCTCTTTTAAAGTCATTCTTCTAGTATATTAGGTACTTCATTATATAATACAATGTCATAAAAGAGCCTGTGGGTCATCTCTAAAGGTGGTGTTGATGCATTATGAAGTTTGCTTGATTTTCAGAGGTATCCATGAGACTGATTTGAGTAATAGGAAGCCATATATTGTAGCGAGGATACCCTAGCATCTTCTTAAAATATAACAGAAATCACTTAAAATGTGGTTAGTACTTATTTTTAAAAATTTGACAGTACATATCAACATGCCAGACACAATAGTCAATATTCAAAAAGTTATCTTGATATTTAATTCTTTTACTTCTGGGAATACTTTCCACATAATTTGTCACATTTTGGGGTACGTAACAATTTTCTGGTTTCTTAGTTTTTTACTGTCCTTAAAGAAGTTTGTATGCTGTAAACATCAATAGCATGGGGTTTGATACTCTCTTTCATGCCACTAGACTCTAATCTCACATAAATGCAGAAAGCATGATTTGCCTTGTAGGTATGTGTTCTTTTTTCTTGCTGTCATCATCTACTCTGTTGTGTCTTCACTAACCTTGTCAATATACACGGTATTAAGTTTTCAATTCACAGATGCATGTTGTTTTCAAAGCTTTTATCACATCCTGTGCTGTTGAATAGATCACTGACATAGATCACTTGTGCATTTGAGCTGCCTAACATTCACAGCATTGCTGCATCTTGGTAAGTAGAGGATCTTATGTTGAAATGTTTTTTTTAAACCTAAGCTGCATGAGACTCCACCTACCCTTGTGTAACAGAGTGACCTGAGATTTTTGTATTTTCCTTTCAGCTTGATAAAGTGATTGCAGGCACCATTGATCAGACAACTGGAGAAGTCCTTTCAGTCTTTCAGGCAGTTTTAAGAGGCCTCATTGACTATGACACAGGGATCAGGTTGCTTGAGACACAGCTAATGACTTCTGGTCTAATTTCACCAGACTTAAGAAAGTGCTTTGACCTGAATGGTGCCGAAAGTCATGGCCTTATTGATGAACAAATTCTGTGCCA